GTTCGTATTCGCCTTGATTCTTCTACTCTGCTCCCTTTCCCCCGCACACAGCCCACGAGTTTTTGAAAACGGTCCCACTCCAGCTGTTCTGAGCACTAGGGATTCGTCTAGCTCGGTCCCTTCGCTGTGGCGGCGGCTGGTGGGAGCGGATTCGCGGGCCCGCAATCTCGAATGGTACTGGAGGTGTCGCCTCTATCCTCTGGCACTGCGGGCTCTGGGCTCCCTCCTCGCGGTTGTCTCGCTTCTTGTCGTATGGAGTGAATGCACATTCTTCGTCCGGGAGCCTCGCCTCTCCGTTATCGCTGCAATCATCCATTCTCACCAGACCATCACGTCGTATAATCTCATTGCAGTAAGGCTAGCTTTTCTGTCAGGCAACTGCTTTTTAGATCCACTAAACAGTTTGTGTAATCTTTCAATTTCGTGGGTTATAGCGGTATGAGCTGTGATGCTTTTCTACCGCCTAATCGTTTTCTTGGACCCTAATATTTGTCTTCTGTTGAAATTCCGTAATCCAATGGAATACACGTTTCAATAGTCCATGCGGCTATCTTGTTTCGTAATACATAATGGTTCATGAAACGATGGTTTTTTGGATTGTGGTAATCACAGTTGTTCACGTGGCATATCGTCTTTGGGAATTCCTGCCTTTTGGCGCGTTGTCTTCTTCCTAAATGTGAAAGCCCATGGATTGAGTCATTGTACAGCCCATGCGACCATCGAATTCAATGAAACGCAGCTATTAGAAGTTACTGTATCGTCTGAAATATCAGTCCTTCCAATACCCTTACGTTCCATCCCATCGTCCCCATTCAACGCGTTAAAGTTCATGGTCTAAGTCTTGCGAAAATCCTTGGAGCCTCCAGGTTTCATCAGGCATGGTAATTCTTTAATTGATACTTTTGCCGACTGTAACACCTGTGATCGGCTGTGTTGCATTTTCCTAGTACAAAGATAGCCTCTATGCACCGAAGCTGATAAAAGGAGTAGTTGATTATGTCATTCAAACATCTCGTTTCATAAAATGCAATAATTAGCGTAGCTGTAGCCGTAGAGGTCGTAGCATTGAAAACCAATCATCTGCTGCGCTATTTTCTTATTTCCAATCTTCCGAGGTCTTGCATCCTTTGCGGAGGCAAAGCTCATGAAATGTGCTGCCGAATAATTCATTACGTCATTTGTACTTTTAAGACTTAACAATGAATGTTGTAATGTCCATATCTGTTCATGTTGTACTAAAATTTCTTCATAAAGGTGGTTTTTCCCGATACACTGGGCTCTTCTGGATAATAATGTTTGCTTTGTTTTGAATTGATCAAATCTCTTCAAAAGAGCTTTCTTTTTCAGATGTCTACTGCATTGATTTAATTTGTACTTTTTTGGTTTTGCTCTGTACTTCTTTATCGCTTCATTGGTCAAAGTCAAAAACAGAAGTGTAACTTTTCCGCATTTCACGATTGTAATTTGACTGAAGTTTTTCACCAAGGTGATCATCGCTTATCTTCGAGATTGTGCTAGTTGCTTAAGGTCATGCAAAATTTTTGGATTGGATACAGAAGCGTGGTACTGTTTTTTGTATAATGCCTGGAATGTGGTAGAGGACATCAGGTCAGATCGACACTTGGATTTTACAAATAATGCAACTAATTTCAAGTAGGGCAAACTACATACATTTTCAGCACATGGTACTATTTCTATGTTTATACACTTATCTCAGCGTTTACCTGTCACTTGAAAAGCATTGACGCAGAAAGATTTGTTATTATGTCTGAACTATCTCAGAGTAGACTGCTTCACTTTGTCATCCGCACTGGCGATGAAATCGCCTGCCTCTGTTGCTCTGATGTGTGTCATGATTTTTAAAAGGAAACATTTTTCTCAGATTTTGTTGTTTGTAACGACACGAACCAGGGAAATCCTGCCCTTATTGTCAGAAGCTCCTTCAACTCATTGCCACGTTCAACTCTCCTGTTCTGCTCAAAAAATGGAATGTCGACATCACGAATGCTAATGAATGACTGTGATTATTATCCCAAAGAAATATTCGTCTCATTGGCAGGTTTAGGTCAGCTTATGCGTTGAGCACTTAAAGGAATGGACACCACAACGGCCGGCTTTGTGAATGACAGACATAGGCTAGAATTTTACTTCCTAAGTAGCTGATCTTCTCAGTTATCGTGCCGCGCCTTATTTCTCCCATTGATAGTCGGAGATCGTATGCACTAGTTCATCATTATACATTGTTACGTAAAACTTTAATCGCTTTTGCCTGCCGTCTTAACTGACGGCGTTTGGACTGGTCTGGGACACCATTTGCACCTATTACTGTGCACAGCACCGTCACGATTGAAACCCAAATTAAATCCATAAATGTTCCGGTTTTGCTTGATCGTCCTCGTTAATGCCAAGTGACAAGGCACCGTGTCACTTGCCGTATTATGTGCGCCGTTTTTTGTTATTCCATTCTAGGCGTCGTTGTTGTAATGGATATATTGAAACTATAATATATAACCTTTACCTTATATATTGTAATGTTGGTGCTGATACACATAGATAGTAAGGAAATTTCCCTATCCTGTCGTCTGTTGGACGAAATACACCAGTGTAATCATACGAGCCGCGAAGTGAAAACGCGTTTCGCAGATCTTAAGCTCATTTTCTAGTGCAAACATTTACACCATGGGAAGAATTTGTAGATATTTGTAGTCTTTTTACCAATATTTTAGTCTGTTTGTTCTCCTTCTGGCTTTCTAGACTTTTTGAAACTTGGTAGGTATAAGGATCTCCGGATTTTTTACCTATTCGTCATTGTTAACTTAGAGAAACTGACACTCATATACCTGGGGATAATTGCTAAAAGGGGGTCAAGAGTCGTCACATGGACCTTCCACTGTAGATTCCTGTGATTTAAGTCTTCTATTAGGCAACATTTTTGTTTATTTTTGCATAGTAGTTAATTTTGATCACAGTTCCTTCCTACGCAGAAGTGAAACGCCAACCACGGTGCCAGGGATACTGTTTCCATTCATCAAAAAACCTATGGAATTTAGTATCTTCCATGGCGCTGTCACTGACATAGAGCTGGACCTGCCCTGAAAATGTGTTTAAAGCGCGATTCTAATAATACCTTTATCATTGTGGTACCGAAGGTTTGCAGACGTGAATTCGGCCTCAATGGTTGAAGCATCAATTTAATAGATGTCGACCCTTCTAACTGGTTTTTCTTACCCACTTAACCCCCTCTTGTATCCACGTTTAAACCCAAGTGGATAGACTTTTTCTTCACTTCAGTTCGTCAGTTTTGCATTCCTGGGCTACTTGGGCTTCTGTATCTACTTCACGGCCTACCGTCTTCGATTCTTTAACTACTACCGCCTCGTGCCTAACCACCACTCCGATGCCATCAGCCTCATCTTCTACGGCTAGTGAGTCCTCTTTGTGTCATGTTGCTCGACGAGTTACGCTGGTATAGAGGGGTAAGGCCCTCTGAATACTATTCGAGGTCTTTGCCTGTTTATTTGACCAATGTAGATCTTACATGCTTGCTAAATGGAAGAGGCAATATTTTCGACCAATCCCTTTCTTGCCACACTGAATTTGTAAGCTTGCATGGACAGTACGGAGACGAAGTAGTCAAATTATTTGCCTACTGAGCATTGTGCCTTCATCTGCTGGTGTATTTAAAAAAATACTTCGCTAAAATAATGTTGACTCACAGTTGATGAGTCGATCTAACTTTCCTGTGTATAAGAAGTCGAGCAGAGAAGTTAAGTCTGTGACTCCGAACCTTTGAACCTGCTTTTATTGTACGGATACAATAAAAGCCGTTGGTGCAGCGTAGGATTGGCCGTCCCTTTGGTTTTGGGTCCAGATCCACTTTTTTCATTGAGTGAGAAGTTGGGACCTGTTAGTAGCAAACCATACACTTAAATGGCCCACGTGTTTAATATTTTCTTATACAACCCATATAATCACGCTCGTTACCAGTTTCACAGAGATGTGTGACGTGTTCCTTACCAGCTCTCGTATCCAACTGCACAAAATCGTTTCACGATCGGGCTGATGTGGTTTTTAAAAATCAAATAGCTGTAGGATAATTCTGATTCAACGATGATTACATTCGTAGTTTTTGAATGGCGTATCGTTAAATAGTACACTTGTGTGTGAATTTTTAAGTTGCCCAATGGTCTTTGAGAACCTGGTCAGAAACCTCCCAGGGTTTCATCCATTTTTCTTTAAAAAACTAAGGCCTAGCACAAGAACTAAAGTTTTAGGATCTTTTTAACACTTTACCTCAGTTCTTACAATACTTTGCCGTCTGAATCCCTCAATCTTTAAAGCCTCCTTCGGCAATGCGGATCCGAAACAACTAACGTACTCTGTAACTGAGCATTTTCGACTTCTTCACTGGCCATGCCTTTCGATCCGTTTCTGTGCCTGTACGAAGGCAAGGTCAGTCAACGGTATAGTTCCTTTCTCTTTAGCTATGCCCATTCAAGTTGGCTTCGGAAACATGAACAATATACAGCCGTCCGATATTGATACTGAGTTAATGCTGGTTTTTTAGGTCTTAGTTCAGGTGATCATCGGGAAGGAGGTTTCTATGTTTGTTGGAGAAGTCCGCTTCTTTTTTTAGAATTCTCGCCTCTGCTGATTAATAGTGGAGACAAGTGCAGGAAATAGCTCTCTTAAACCCATTTTTTATGCGTTGCCTTTTGAACGAATGGCATCAAAAGTGGGATCAGTAGCTTCGTGCGTAGCACCTAAGTTGTCTCCGAAGGTCCCCTAAGGCATACGAACGCAAAATGAACTTCACTATAAACGAAAAGAATGGTTGAGAGCCTAGCATCAATGAGGAGGTCAAATCGCACGATTATTTTCTTTGATGAAAGTAAACATCAATCATGGACTTACTAGTTTCTAACATGTGTACCCAAGTCTTTACGAATGACTTAACGTCTGTTTCAGCATGCTCTGCCGACTGACTCCGTCTCTATGCGTGAATTTCCTCTGCTTGGCCCATCTGGATAGTCACGTCATATCCGCTTCCGTTGATACTACTTCCGCTGTCACCAATAAAAACAGCACAGTCGCCACGACCGCCAATGAGACTACCAACACCACCATACCCCCATCTGCCACAAGCGCCTACTACGAGACGGCTTTCACAAAGTTCATGGGCCACCTAGACGTGGTACCTTTTATTGCTAACGGCTTCAACATCTACTTTCCCATTATTGTGGTGCTGCTGTGTCTGGTGACCTTCTTCAGTCTGGGCAGTCGCTTGCTCACCTGCCTGGGCATGCCTCAACTCATTGGTCCGAGTTTCATTGATAAGCGGCTACCTGCCGGGGAAAGCAGTTCTGTGGACGATGCTATTGAGGATGGTCGAATGTTGCTCTACCGGGGTATGATGACGGCTATCCATCCTCATTTCATTTCTCTTGGATGTGATCTTTTAGGGTATTGATTGTTTAGTCGTTAAGTGGAACGCGTCCCCGATGAACATTCGTCCCACTGATCGGAATAAGACCGCTTGACTTTTTGGTATCTTTAGCAAAGCTAGTGAACAAATGCAAAACTGTATGCTAGGTGTAGGATAGATCGATCAAATAGAAAATCATATGGAATGAATCTTGACAGGTACTCCGTTTAACGCGTTCGCATCCATAGTCTCAGGCAGCAGTCGACTATTGCAGTCACTGAGATGTGCTATTCCATTATGTCACCGGTTCTCTTTATCTCTGTTTCACCTCACCAATCTACTTCATTCCAATAAGATCACGGCATTACATATGTGTGGCGCTGGCGGAAAACAGGTTAAATGTGAGGCATTGTGTGCAGTTGATGCTGAAAAGTTGGTTTACACAGACTCTTACCATCATAATGAAACGGTAATTTATGCCTGAACTTTGAGAAGGATGTGGTTTACCGCAAGCCATAGAACGACCTTCTGTTGCAAAGGTAGTGTTTTAAAATAGACTACTTACCGGCAAGTATCTTTCAATGCATTCAAGCAAATTGGAAAAGTCGGGTTGCTGCATTTACAAATTGCTTAAATTCATCACTTTTTAATTGTCACTATTGTATTTACTTCTGCAGTCATTTTCCATTCATCCAGGATAGGGTTATGGTAGCTACCTAATGTTCTATCACTTATTTAACGAATTCTCTGCAATTTTTGGTATAGTTAGCTGCAATAGCTTGTTGTAGCTGGTAGCGGAATGCGCAGTGCTCGTGGCTGTTTAATGCGCCTGCATTACAAGGCTTGCATATGCATCACTCTATCGGAATCCTTCAAAAATGTTGGCCAAACGAAACCGGTGCTGTTCCAGTTTGTCCTACTTACGAACCAAGTTGAACGCGATTTCGAAGCCGCGGCTACAGAAGGTCGCCAAATTGGTGTATGACTTTTGTGGTTGTAGGACAAACTAGCTGAAAATTTTGTGAACAAGTTACTTGAATCGAACTATGAATTACGATGATCCTGCGCTGCGATAACAAAGGGAAGTTACGTGACACCATTGATTACAGTGAATGGAGGTGAACGTGCCAAGGAGTTGTAGCTTTCAGACGCATTTAAGGTGGTCAAATGAACCGATTGGTTTACACCCAAATTAACCGGGAACGAAAAGTCGTGGTGGAACCCAAGCTAAATAGGTGCCATCTGTATCCCATGCATTAACAGATGAAAGACAGAAAGTTTCAATGATTGTGAATTCAATTGATTTCAATCACATCTTATTCGGTTTTTGCTGGCTGGTCGGTTGTTGATGGAAGACGACTTCTGCATTGCTTAGGTATACCCAAACTATCTTTTTACACACTACTAACCCCACACCCCGGAGGAACGCATCACTTTACCCTCTGGAGGCTATACCTTGTGTGTGTAGATTGCAGG